TAAAGTAGGTGAACAAAGAAGACTGATTGCAAATCTGCAGATGTGAACTGCTTTGAAATAGCTTCTCCATGCTGACCACCTTCTGGAATCATGCACGTCTAGCAATTACTAACTTTCTGATCATGTAACCTGCAGAAAGGCATTGATTATCTTTCAAACAGTCTGATCAAGTTGCCAGGCGGCAGTTAGTTACATCATGAATATTCTGAACTTGTTCATAGAGTAATATCTGAGCACTGGATAACATGCTTAGTTGAAAAGGGGTAAGGGAATTGCATCTGGGGGCCCTGGTGAAAATAAGAACTGTTTCTGTCCTTTTATCACATGCTTTTCCCTAATGCTAACAGAGACTTAGTAAACATGTCATTTTTGTTCTGATGACAATTACATTATCCACAAGACAGACCACACGCACTTCACCCCAGCAGTGCCCCAGGTGCAGGTTCGAGACCTTCAGCTGTGCACAGTGCGTCACAGTTCTCTGAAAAGCCCACACGACTGTAAATGAAGAGCTGCTGCTGAAAACAAACCTGCTCGTGAGAGAAGTTACAAGACACAATAAAATCCGTCACGGACATGCTCCAAACAGTACAACCCAAAAGCCAAGCATTCTATTATTCAGAACTTCAAACAAGGCAATGTGATCGCAGTTGTACCTAGAGTTTCAGATGCTGAACACTCCAGCCTCCATCAGGGGAACCATTTTCATCTCATCTTTTCAAGAGGAATGGTCAATTGAGAGTTGACAGCTGTGTATTTTAACAGGCAAGTAAACATCTAGACCCTGCTTTCTGCCACGCTACTGCATACAGTAAAGTGACAGTATAACCATAGGTAACATGAGATTATCAAAACACTGCATGTAATGAGCATGGACTGCTGGGTTTTCATGACAACTGCCAGACTCGGGGTGGGGAGAGCAGTGCAGTCCTCTGAATAAACGTCTAAGCAATGAGGAAAAGACAGCAGTATAAAACCAGAAATTTTTATGGATTAGAAAATGCTCTTCCAAATAAATGGGCCAGATAAGTGAATATCTGAACGATTTTACAGCTCTTGTACTGCTTATTTTTAAGCTGCATTTTTCTTACTCTACCAGCTTTGTATTTTGTTAGGAATATGTAGAAAATCCAACAGCTACTGCTAAGGTATTTCCATATTGCTGGCACTTGGCTCACAAACCAGTATGGTTTCAGTACAAAATACAAAAAGTGCTGTATCCAAAATAAAAAAAAAAAGAAAAGAAGAAAGGACCTGTTGCTAGACTGACCAAGTCAAAAGAAAAAAAAAAAAAAAAGACCATTCAGAGCTACAAATTAACATCTGTCAGTTAAAAAAAAACCCTCAAGAAATATCATCCTTAACAGGATATACACTTTTTAGAATGACTTATTTGTACGTGTATTGAATTGGCAATAGAGCCTTCCACCAGGTATAACTGAAGTTTCAGAAGCTCCCTCAGAAGTTGTTAAAATATCACATTAAAGAGACAAGGAACAGCAAGAAAACATCTAAGAAAAGCAGGCTGTGATACAACAAGCATTTGTTAAGAAAAAGCTCAGAAGTGCATTAGTTCTGGTGAGAGATATATGAGCAACAGCTCTTACGAGATGTAGACCCCATTCTGTAACTATGGGCTGTCCATATACTGTCATAGTCAGAGTCTTCTGAGAGGTCTGAAGGCTCCAAACGAGAAAGACTACTGCGACGACCCAAGGAGTCTAGACTTGATTGGTCATCATCAGCCAAGACGTGATTATGCATCAGGTCAGTGCCTTGCCATGCTAAGGATGTATAGGTGAAATGAAATGGTGGATGTGGATAGGCAGAGGTGGGATGAGGAGGAGAACGTAAGGAATAGCCACAACCAAACACATGAAATAAAAGCAAAAAGGTGATGGGAAGAGAAGGAAAAGAGAAAATATTGTTAAAAAGGCACCAAAGTTTTTTTCTTTTTCTTTTTAAATTTGTTTGGGGTTTAGGTATAAGTTACACTCAGCATGTAAGAATGTTTGAACTGTTACAATACAATTTTTGAAGTGGTTTTTAAGCTTCTAGGCAGCCTCAGTTGACAATTTTGAGTAACCAAAATCTTGTTTGAAAGTAGATTTTTTGGAAGAGGAAGTTAAGTTCTTTTCAGGTATGGAGTCAGTTCTGGTCTGGAGGGATTTGACTGGGGACAGAGCAATAAACACAGTAAGCCAGCATGATCCAGCACTGATGTGAAAAGCAACAGCTCCTTCCCCACCAAACATCGGTACCTCCACATCCTTTCCCTCCCTTGCAACAACACAGTCATTTCTATGGCTGCTTGGAGAACCAGGTCAGGGAACAGTTTCAGATGAAAACTAACCCTACAAAAGATTATTTTTCAAGCAGGTAATTTCCCCACCAGCTCACAACACAGCCACAGAAGTGCTTGTGTCACCACTGAAAGAGGAAAATGCAGGGGAAAAAGCAAAGATTCTCATGCAGAGCAGGGCTGCTGACTTTCTGAATCAGCTGCAACATCTTGCACCCACTCAAGGGGACTGTCAAACTACAGCTTTTCTGTGCCTGTACCCCTTGTTATTTGTTTAACCATGTAGAGAATTAACTCACAGGAGAACAGGGCCAGCAACAGAGTCTGGTCCATTCCAACTCCTTACACACCTCTATCTGAATCTATCTTCCCAACTAAATACTTTAAGATGTCTAGGGTAGTTGGTCAAACATAGCTAAGGACATTTTTTTTTTTTTTTTTTTGGAAGGTCTGGCAATATGCAAGGATTGAAACCATGTAAGTGGCCATGCTATGAGCCACCATACACATGATCTTGCAAGAGATTTTAAGCCTTCATTTGGAGCAGAAATGCAAAATAAACTCAGTATATAAGAAACAAGAGAAAGTGAAACTCTCTTCTTCTATTTGATGTCTCCCCAAATTAAACCCTACATCTTCCCCACCCAAACAACTGAAAAAAGTTGCTTTGCTGCCTCTAATGCCACACCGCCAGTTTCCACTGGAGCCACTGACGTTGCCAAAAGCAGCACCCCTCGGGCTTTGGATTAAGGTGCAGGTAGGAAAATTGCCAAATGAGTGCTGAGAGGGACAGGCAGAATATTAATACGGAGGTAAGAAAGAAATACGTAAAAAAAGGGCGTACTTCACAGATGACAGGGAACTCTTTCATTCTGTTCTTCTACACTGACTACTATTCCCACAGAGGCAATTCCACCATGTTTGGTTTTTTTCCCTATTTCCAAATTCAGTCTACAAATGGATCTTCTGAAACCTAGTCTTTGACAACAACACTATTCTTTCCAAACAAAGCAGCCATATGCTTAATCAATTAAAAAATTAAAATATTTCTTGCTGCAATTAAGAGCAAATAAAAGCTGCTGACTTCTGATGTATGCAATGACACCCACAGCACTATGTATATTTCTTAAATATACATAGAAAGGAAAAAAACAGGCAAAAAAGCAACAAAAAATCATATCCATTTTATATCTGCACACACACACACTACTGTGCAAGTGCAAATGTTTCCCCAACCATTTCTTGTCACATTACCCTTGGAAATAATCAAAAGATCACAGTCGACACATTTAAGCAGCAACCATCTCATTTAATTTTGTTTGGAACAACAGTATATCTTCAGAATTTTGAACACATTCATTTCCTTTTATCCAATTAAACACACTACTGTAATGACTGTAGGGCTATAGATTAGTATTAATAAAAAATTGTGTAATAGTAGCTAATTTTATCACCTTGGAGACCTACAGTTCCTTCAAGACAGAAAAATTAAAATGAAGGTTTTTGCTGTTATTGCAAAAGTTTCCACAGTCTAAAGACAAAGGCCATATTCCCATCTTATAGCACATATGAATACAAAAGTAGCTGGATTTTTTTCAGGGTGGTAATAGTAAGTGAACACATATTAGGAAAAGCTAAGTTTGCAACTGCATTTTGAGACTTCTCAACTATCAGCATAAAGTGCTTTTGCTTGGAAGCAAAACAGGCACAGAGCGCTGTGGGTAGTAGTAACAGTGATTAATACTGCAAATTTAAACAGCTTTAATGGATGAGGACTAAGTTATAACATCCACTCTTCTAGCTCCTGACAACAGCAAAACCAGCCAAGTACTTCAGGATCATTATACTGTGTTCCAAGGATCCCTGAATTCAATTGGTATTGAACAGTGCAAAAACTGTGCAAATCAGAACAAACGCAACAGCATTTTCTCCTTCCTTGTGTCAATGGAACACATGCTGGTGGACTCCCCTGCTCTGCGCAACGTTTTACTTACAATACAGAGGAACTCCACATGGCAACCTTGATTTGGATTAAATGAAGTAGGACCCCAGAGGCACGTTACAGGTTTTCAATAAGCTAGGTATTGATCTGAGAAACTAAAAATGGCTTTAAGCAACACACAGATCTGAGAACAATTTCTTCAGAAATTATGAGATGGGATAAAAATTTGTAATTAATACTAAAAACAACTAGTGGTAATAAAAGAAAAGAATTCTTTATAGGTCTAGGTTACTTTTCCATAGTGGAAGTCTTTGTTGAACACAGAAGAAGAAAAAATACACTCCTCCAAAATTGTGACTACTTTTTAATTTCTCCTCACTACTTACCAGCTTCTTGAAATTTATCAAAAAGCATATTGATCAACTGTCATATTCAGTTCAGACACCTCTCATTCACTGGTGATGGTTTTGTGCAATTTTAATCCATGAAAACTTTTGGGTTTCCGTTTTGGGTTTTTTGGGGTTTTTTGGATTTTTTTAATACTCAAAGAATTATAGTCTCTAACCATGGTCCTTGGCATCCAATACTTAAACACTCAGCACTGATATTAACCCAGAAATAGGTTGTTATCATTTCTTCCAGGTCCAGCTTGCTATTTGCAAAGCCTGAGAACGTATATCTTTTTTTTTTTTTTTTTTTTTTTGCAAGCTATCTAATTTGTGTTTCAGTTAGCCATTTCAGTACTTTCTAACTTACTTGAATTTAGTGTTTGACGTGTTTTGGCACTTGTGCAATATGCTTCAATGACTTTAAGAATTTGAGCATCTTCTTCTAAAGCAGCTGTACCTAGAATCAATGGGAAAAACAGAATTTTAAACATGGTTATGTTTCATAAAGCCTTTGTAAATTACTACATTTTAGTTGAGTCCAAAGTTCAGCCTAATCAACCCTTTAAAATGATCTTAACCATCCCATTTTAAAAATTAAACTTTGGTGAGCAAAATTTAATAGTTTAAAAAGACAAAATACTACCTTGAAATGCTTGGCAAAAAAAAAACAACCCGAACTGGTCAGAGTAACGACCCACACATTCAAAAAATTTTCTGAGCATGTGAACTTGCACAGAACATGTTCTGAACTGTGATCACTCTGGCTCTAAACCAAACAGCCATTAAACTGAAAAACACTGTATACTCTGGTTATTATATACATGTTATTTCACTATTTAATCAAAGAAATCAAGGAAAATAGTATTAATTCACAGAAAAGAGATCTTGAAAACTTTTGGATTTTGTATATATATCAGATTTACCCCTTTCAACAGCACACTACTGAAAACTGAACTCAGAATTAACAGCATAATAAATAAGTTAGTACAATTTCAGTCCAGTGTGCAGCAGCAGAGATGTTACTATCACATAAGTATATCTGTGAAAAGTGGAGTAATTAAACTTCTCAGACTTTAAAGTAGAAACAGCACTACAGAAAAAAATCCAACTATTCAAGCTTAAAATGGCAAAATTTTCCTAAAGGTAGAGCTCCACAGCAAACCTTCTCCTTGGGGAATTCAGTAAAAAATGCCGTCACACTGTTCACTTGCAACGGAGTGAAATTCCAATCAAACTGAAATCTAGAGGGACCTCTACCATGAGTTTAGATGGAACCAGGAGTCTATGTGTAGGGCAAGATGTTGTTTTAGAAGCATTTTTCCTGTTTTCCTCCTTGAAGAAAAAATTAGGCTTGAAGATTTTCTGCTGTGTGAATCTGAACTGCCTTCAGCATCAGAATGTAGCTGTATTCTCTGTCAGCCAATGCAACTTGTTAGTTTTTTGTGATTTGTTATCACCAGAACAAAGCCAATTGTCCAAACATTTGTCCGGATCAGCTGACAAGCTAACTGTTGAAGAAATTATCTTGGCCTGATATAGTTTCTGCACAGTTTAAGAGACACAGGTACTCCAAAGTACAGGTTCTTTCTCTTTCAAGGCAGGAAAAATAATTGGATTTTGTTGTGGTTAGAATGTAGCACCATATAACTGTAGCAGGACAAATATTTCACTTCTGAAATGAGTATTGTGAAGGCACTCAGTTGAAATACCTTATTTTGGTTTGTATGTTATAATGCTAATTTGACACAGCAGTTCTTAAAACATAGCCCATAAATCCCTGGGATTCCAGGGAAGATAAGTAATAAAACCCAAACCTATCTTTCAATAAGCTTTTAAGTTTGACAGAAGCTCCTCACTGGAAAACTTTTACAGCTCCACAAGCTGGAAAAGGTTGAAGGAGCACTAACATATAACAGAAGCTTCTAATTACTGACACAAGGGGGGGGGGGGGGGGGAAAAGAGAGAAAAAACAAAAAACAAAGGGGGGGGGGGGGGAGAAAAGAGATGAATAACAGAAATATTTACTGATTCTTGAAGTAACACTGACTTAAACCCACCAAAAATCCCCTTATTGGAAACTCTCAGACTTCAGCAGTCTAAAGCTCTGCAATTTATTCAGACACAGACACTAGCAAATGACCTTATTTCCAGGAGATCTAGATCTTAGATAGAGTGATCATGGAAGTGACTAGTCTTCAAACCAGCAGCAACACCCAGCTTTCCAACACCCAGCTCAGCAGAAGTTCCTACCAGGATCAGTTTAAGAACATAGCTATTAAGTATTCTGCAAGAGTGGGACAGCATCTTCAAATTGTTTATGAAATTAAAATACAGGTTTACCTTACTGAACTTTACATGGCTCTACAGTCAACCTCACTTCCCTCTGCAGCAAACAGATAGAAATAGGCACTTCACAAGCATACATCCACTGCAGTCAATTGTAAAACTCTAGAAAGCAACTAATCCCATTGTGACATAAGCACTTAAGATGACTAAAACAAACCATCCTCTAGCGATACCTACCCCCTCTCCCCTGACAGGAGAGAGGGAACCAGATGACTTGCTTACCCTGTACATTTAATTTTCACAGAATTTAAACTGATGTTAATTCCAGCCTTTGTATTATGCAGACATTTGTTTAAGTCTCTCTTACTTTTTCTCAGTGCAAACTCTTCATCTGACGGTTTCCGTTCTGGCTTGCGTTTGGGAAGCAGCTTTTTCATGGTTTTAGGGCTTTTACTGAGATCCTGTGTGGGGAAAATAAAAATAAGAAGAGTAGAGCTTCTCTACAGTATTTCAAAAGTTTAACTTTTAAGATGCATACAGGAGTTACTAACTAAAATTCAGTTTACTAATATTTTTTGGCACATCTGATTTACCTGAACTGGATGATTCCTCTCTGCCCTTCCTCCAACTATACACAAAGTCATGTATTTCATCTGTTCTAGTAACAGAAATATACAGAAAAGCTGCTGCAAAAGCATGCAGGCTGTTTGGGAGACAGAGCGAAGGGAAGAGGCAGGCATACATTAACACAGGTTTGGTTTTTCCCCCTAACTTTTGAAGGGACAACCCATTTCACTTGTATACTTAGAAGCACGTAAAAAAGGACCTAACAAGGAAGCTTGGCAGATAGTACACTCTTTAAAGCCAGAATTCGTGAATGTTTAGGTCTGTTCTTACAAAGCTTTACAGCAAAAAAAAATACAGCAACAAATAGCATTTCTGCTCAAAACTTAGTCATGCTAATTTACAGGAACAATGCTAGGTTACAGGAACAAAAAGGAACATACTGGTCTACCCCCTTACCTTAAGGATACAAGACATCCTCTATAAAATACAGAACAAGAAAGTAAAAACGTGAATGAGCAGGACAGACCAAAGAAAATGAAGATAGGTTTTGAACATCATTGTATGCTAAAAACTGTAAAGATGATTGAAATTTTACCACACTGGAGAATTTAGTGCCCTACACATGAAAACATGAAAGGAATTTAACTTAAATTACAAAGTGAGCATATAGTACAGCCAAACAGAAAAATCTCTTGTAGCAGCTAAGCCTAAATACTAACCTTCCAATTGCAGATCACCTATCGCTTTTTCCCTGTTGTTTAGGGGATTTACAAAAGAACAGAAAAGAAAAAAAGTCACACACAGAGAGCTATGACAAAAAAACCCAACAGCCAGGGCACACCAGGCCACAGTGTTTAGGCTACAGTTTCTAAGAAATTGCAGATTTACATGTCTGCAAAATAAAATTGTTCTGTCAACATCTCATGCTTGCAGAATAAGACATTCTTAGGCATAACTGCATGATTCTTTCTGGGCCCTGTTGCTTCATACTGAACTATTATCATGAGAACGCATGACAAAGATACTGAAACAGGAGATACCACCAAGCCACAGAGCATCCAATATTCTCCTTCTCACCTACATGCAGACTTCCAACACACATCTAACATTTTCCTACTATTTACAAAATCACACAAAATGTAGTGGCAGGACCAAATTAATCTACCATCACCATCTTTTTGTGGTTAAAACCACTACATTTTATTTCTCTTGGAACAGATTCCTGTTTCATACCAGGTGCTAATTAAAATATACAACAGCATCTTAAACCTTCTCACCTACATGCAGACTTCCAACACACATCTAACATTTTCCTACTATTTACAAAATCACACAAAATGTAGTGGCAGGACCAAATTAATCTACCATCACCATCTTTTTGTGGTTAAAACCACTACATTTTATTTCTCTTGGAACAGATTCCTGTTTCATACCAGGTGCTAATTAAAATATACAACAGCATCTTAAAATCTAAGCTTTTTTTTTGCTAGTAGTAACATTAACCATCAGATTCTTTTGAGTACAAAAACATTACCTATATTTTGACAGTTAGCATTCTTTTTTCCCCCTGTAAACATGCTATTGTTATCTAGTAACAGTGGTAAGTACTGAGGAACCAAGAGTCAATTATGCCACCAAAGCTGTTCAGAATGATTTGATACAGCATTCTGAAGCACCACAGGATCACTTATGCTAGATATTTTGCAGTGTGCTTAACACATAACTTATTTTGCAATAAGCCTGAATGATCAACATAACAAAGGAATTGCTAGTTTAAAAAAAAAATATTAAAAAGTCTTATTTATTAACTGGATAAGGAGTGGAAATAAGCAGAAGCACTTGGGGAGGCGGGGGAAGCTTCTAACAAGCCTTATTATTTCCTCAGCTGCAAGACTAAATCCCTGTATGAAACACTGGCTGTTAAATCATCTTTATACAAAAACATTCACAAAACTGTAAAATGGTAGTCTGTAAAAAAAAGTTAAACTTCCCATTGTATGCCTGCTACTCAGTCATATTTCTTGGCTGTTGTATCTCACCTCTTTATAACAAAGAGCTGCTGAAGGCCGTAATGGAGGCGCAGGCCGCAAGCAGCTCAGACTCCAAGGCTTGGGGGTTTTCGGAGGTTCCAGAGGTCCCCAGTTTATTGTGGTATGTGGAGTCCCATGATGCGACGGATGAGGGAGAGTGTGGTATGCAGGAGTCAGTGGTATTGGCTTGCTGTCTGAATGCTTGCTGGAGGGTGTTACGGGATGGGAAGGAAGCTGTCAAAGACACAAAGGTGATGGGAAGGGAAAGAAAACATATTATCATAATAAAGACATAATATCAAAGATTGGTGACAATCTCATTCACTTTCTAGAGTTTCTGTTTATTACAGCTGTCCTTTGAAAATTTTGACACTAAATTATTATTGGGGGGGGGAAAGGATCTTAAAGAAATTTTGTCTACCGTAGACAGCACGCACTAAAGAAAGAACAAGTATGAGCAGCCCTACTCCCACTTCTCTCAACCACCACGGACAGAGCTAAATTTAGATCCATTCATATCCAACAAACCCAAAAGAAGGTACTTAAGGAAGTTGTTTCTCCACAGCCTGTCCAATACATCACCAATTAAAACCTACTGTTCTAAGGATACTTAAAAGATGGTGATATATTACTTGGTCAAAATAGAAGAAGTAACAATAATGAATTTTCTTTTACTCTGCTAAACTATTACACCAAAATGTAAGCATTTTATTCTTTATTGACACAATTAAAAACAGAATGACCTTTTGACCCATTAAACTACAGTCATAATGTTCAGTTCTTGGTACTAATGGCTAAAAAATGCTTTACATAGTGGTTTATTGGCCATATAACCTAATTCTGCATACACTGCTCATTCACTTCAATCCAGAAGCTATTTCTTACTGTGTGAGATGGCACAGAGTGAGGTTTAATGGTGGGATTCCCAACAGTTGTGACTTTGGTTTGCTTCTGCAGGTGATCCACCCATTCATGCAAATCTTGCTGGTTGTTACAAGACACTAGTATCCTTTCAATCATATTTCCTAGTTGACAGAAAACAGAAGATGTAGGATACCACAGAAAAACTACTTAGTCAATCTGACATGATTGTATCTGACATGACACTCATTTCCTAAAACACTATATCCCTTAAGTACTAAGCAAAATATTTAACCTGTATTTTCAGTACAACAGCATCTCACTTTTCCAGGTTGTAATAGACATTTCCTCCATGTATTTGTTCTTGTGCCAAGCACAGGAGTTCTACTTTTTTCCCCACCTCTAATAATTAAACACAATGACCAGAAACAGATGTAGGAGTCAGGCTCATGTAGTAGCCTTACACTACTCCATCTTCCCAAGGAAAGCCAGCGTATGGCCTAAAATATCATTCTTGAGTCTGTAAGCTACAATATAGAAAAAAAATATAAAATACAGTTCACTGATCTTCTCTCAGAAAAAGGTATAAAGTTGGTCTGAATCTAATATTAAAGCTCAGGCAAAAGTCACTTGGGAAAGCAATCTTAACTAAAGATTACTTTAATTTCTGCAGTTAACTCCATTTTAACCCATCATATTCCTCATCTGAGGTCAGCCTCACAGCTACTCAGAAGAACATGCACCATCAACAGCTTCTTCCCTCTGCCTCATAGCACTGACGTGTAATGCCACCTGCCACTTGAGAGGGTCAAAATTACTTTACATTTACTGAAATGCTTAGAGGCAGAATTGATCCAGGAAATGAATGAAGATGTGAAGCTCCATCACGTGGACCCTGCTCCCACTGCCCTTTCAATCCCCCAAGGAAGTAAGGTACATGCTGAAACGAATGACTTAACAGACAGAAGTTACCCAAAGTAAGCACAATGGCAGCCATTGTTAGCAGAGACACAAAAGATTTCTCAGCAAAGAGGTGGACCATTGCTAGAAGAAAGTTCTTGCTTAAAGCTCTTCCAGAGTCTCTGGAAATCATTTTCTCCCAGTGAGTAGCACACTTTGAACTGCTTCATTATAAGGGACCTTCTCCAAGGCTACTGTCTCCATTCATTAAAATACAGAAATTTGGGGATGAATCCCACACAGAGACAGTTTGTTAACTGCTAAAGACAAGCAGCAAAAAACAGCTTTCAAGTGAGGTTATGAGTAGCTGCCTTACAAAATTTGTATGATCACAAGATGACTGAGTCTGGAAGGGACCTCTGTAGGTCATCCAGCCCCTCCTCAAGCACAGACACCTAGAGCTGGTTGCCCAGGACTGTGGCCAGAGAGTTTTTGAGTATCTCCAAGGTTGGAGATCTCTCCAGGCAACCTGTGCCAGTGCTTGGTCACTTTCACAATGGAAAAGCTTTTCCCTCTGTTCAGACAGAACATTTGATGTTCTAAATAGGATATCCTGGAGTAAGCAGTAAATAAAAATATTTAAGGTCAATACCTGATATTTCAAATGCATTTTTATGGTTTTCACTGTCTTCTAGCTTTGTGATAGTCATTCCTGTCATTGGCAGTTTTCCCTAAAAAAAAACAAAAAAACAACCAAAAACCAAAACCCAATATAGTAACACTGAAGTTAAATCCAAAACACACAAACACATTACCGAGGAAAGAACACCACAGAATCACAGAATGGTTGGGTTGGAAGGGACCTCAAAGATCATTTAGTTCCAACCCCCCTGCCATGGGCAGGGACACCCTCCACTAGACCAGGTTGCCCAAAGCCCCATCCAACCTGGCCTTCAACACTTCCAGGGAGGGGGCATCCACAGCTTCTCTGGGCAACCTGTGCCAGTGCCTCATCACCCTCACAGTAAAGAATTTCTTCCTAACATCTAATTTCAATCTACCCTCCTTTAGCTTAAACCCATTACCCCTTGTCCTGTCACTCCATGCCCCTGTAAACAGTCCCTCCCCAGCTTTCTTGTAGGCCCTTCAGGTACTAGAAGCTTAAAGCTCTGAACAAAGACATACACAGTAAGTTCGCAAACATACACACACTGATGGGTTTAAACATTTAAACATCCATGCAAACACCTGATAATGGCAGTTTTTAACATGCCCAACTTCTGCAAATGACACCTGTGACTATGATGAGCCTATCCGATACCTATGTAGGCTATGAAATCCGTACAAATGTAATAGTGGTCATTCATCATAGCCTCAAGTTCTTGGAACCAAGACCTTCAGGTTCATCTGTGTTACGTGATTAGAGGCACTAGTGACTCATCTTTAAGCACATTTGTTTGCAAACTGATTACCTCTCAAAATAAGGTTTGTGGTACAAGTAGATTTAGAAAGGAAAATTTCACTAAACAAATGCATCAAGTATTTAATAAAGATTTATGTCTCAACCCCACTAATAAATTCACTCAGAAATATCTGGGGAAAGAAAAACAAAAGCAGTAAAAACACCTTTAAGTTTGTAAAGTTTCAGAACATCATATTAATTTTGCAGAAGATAACCTCTCATTTTAAAACCAGTCAAGCTGGGGAAAAACAAGGTCAGTTTAGAGTAACTTTCTGACCCTTTAGAAACCACAGAAGAATAAATAAGACTGAATATTGTCAGAGTGAAAGAGTTTACCAAAAATCCAACTTTTATAATAAAGTTCTTTAAGACAGATCCTGTATTCTCCTGCACAGAAATACTATTCAGCACATGCTGGCAAAAGTGCAAATACCATCTACTGTGGAATTTTGGCTCCAATGGAGGGGAGGAAAAAAAACCCCCCCAAACTTTTTTGTTTTCTTTTTCTTTCCTAATGACTGCAGAATGGACAAAGGTTTCTTAGAAGCTTGGAAACTAAAAATCACTTGATATTCTGTATGCACAGAGCACGCTCAAACCCAAGATGCCAAAGAGAAAGGAAGAGTTTTATTGCAACAGCTTCCCCACTGAAGGAAACATGGTGATGTCATGCACTACTATGCAGCCTAAAACCGTTTTTTCTGTTTGCTGGTTCACAAATAACACAGCCTACAGCCACAGTGAAAAAGAGGGGCAAGAACTGCTGACACAGGTGAAAAGGGAATATGGGGACACACCAAGCAAAAGACTGGTGACAGAGGACAAGGATCACCTGAGCCGCATGGAGAGAAAAAGTCCAAAGTCAGCAAATAACAGAGAAAAAATGGAACTGAACTCATGAATCATTTATATTCCCTTTCTTCCAACAAAATTGTGAAGCCATCGTGCAAAATATGGCTGTGGCCCTTGTGACTTCAGTTTACCACTGCTAAAAGTTTTCCCAATTAGCTCATGCGGCAGGTATCAGCGCTATCAACCAGAACATCTGAAGCCTGCTGATAACTGGAACATTCAGAAATACAGAAAGGATGTAGTTTGAGATGCTGCCTCCAGTGGCATCATTTCCCTGGGAATGACTGAGGGCTGGACAGCAAACATTAAGAAAGGGCTGTGGCCGTACTGAGCAGAACCTGAAGACAAATGCACAGAAAATTGCTTATTTACTGAACAATGCTGTGCACCTGGGGGACAAAGTCAGAGAGAGGAAAAAGAACTAAGTGATGAGTAGGAGAGCAAAATTAAGCCTGACAGATTCTCATTGTTTAATTTCGTATTGTTTGTCAACACACTAAATTTCCAGTCAGTTGCCTTTGAAAACAGTACACAACAATCTCCCTTCGTTGAGAATTAGGGATGTGCCACTTGAGGTACAGCGCTCATCTGCCTTTTCTAATACCTTTTTTCCATCTATGCTGTGATAAAGCACTAGCCAAAAATTCTGAAGGGCAGCACAATGCTAAGAGAAACTTGATTGTGCATTTGAACCACCTAATGCAACACAGTCTCAGACAAATCCAGCTACTACCATGGCAGGTAAGATACGAATCCAAACATGAATTTTGGAATTCAATTGCTCTTAAAGTCACACAGTCTGTGACTGGATGTAGCTGATCCTGTCGAAACCCCAAATGACTACCCTTCAACATTCCTCCACAACAGACAAAGCACTGCTCAAGAGAAAGGAACAAACCGCTTGAGAGCCTGATTTACAGAAGTACCTAGAGCAGGACAAATCTCTGACTCCTCCTAGAATTTCTGGTGTTTTACCGTGTTGTCTAGAAACTACATAACAATAGTTGAAAAACATTTGTGAAGATTTCAGAAACTCACTGACTGTGCATTTGCTTTAAGTTCACCTCTAAGGGGTCTTTGAAACTCCACACCCCGAATGCAGGTGCTTCTGTGAAACGTGACCTAGAGCTACAAGGGAGCCAACCCAATCGGCAGTCATCCTTCTGCACTCATCCCCCTGCACTCATCCAGAGCTGCTACTGCTGTAGTGGGGAAACAGGCAAGAAGTATTCAGCTGGGAGACTTGCTAGAGAGCACAAAGCCATGTCTACCAGCAGTGAGTAGTGGATTTGTGAAGTGAAACACCTGGTGCTAAGGACCTGAACACCACATTGTATGCATTTCAGGTGGTGTTACACCAGGGTAGCTCTAGGCTGTGACCATGGATTGAATGCCAGTCCATGTACTTCATCTGCTCCAGTACTTGTAGCAGGTCGAGTGCACTTTCGGAGCACACATTCCAGTTCAGCTTCATCCAGAGGGAGTCCAGTCTGCAAGCCCTGAGACTACTTCTGCACTGTGACTCAAAGATCAGTAAAAAGAGAAAACTGGAACATTTATTTCAAAAGCACTCTGCTGATTCAAAGATAAAACACTAATGTAGACATGTCTAAAGAAACAGATGGTAGCACAGCCTAACTCACACCAATGCAAGCTTTAAGAGTGCTGTGTAATTTTGGTAAGGCTCAAGCAGCAGGCAGAGGAGCACTAACAAACCTGCCTGCAGAACAGCATTGTCTTCCTATGTAGATTTGAAAGGCTATCAATACTTCCTCTCGTTAGCTACTACTAACAAGGTGCAAAAACCTTGCTGATAGTCACAGCTACAAAAAAAAAAAAAAAAATCACACCCAGGCTTCTAGCCCAGAATTTTATGAAACAGATGACCAGTTCTTATTGCAGAAATTACCCTTTATCTTTATAAATGCAGAAGTTTAATAATCCTTCCAAATTTTCTATGAAATACCATTTAGAAGAAAGCTACCCCCCAAAATATTTACACACATAAGTACATGTCTTACTGTACCTGATAGATAAACCCACTCATTCTCGGGCTGGCAGACAACATTAGCAAAATGTTAGGGAAGAGAAGAAGGTATCTTTCATTCTTTTCCTTATCAAAAAAAAAAAAAAAGAAAAAGTGAACACAACATCACAAGCCTCCTGCCCCCGCTTTTTTTGTTTTATATTGCTAAAAATTGCCATCAATGTTACAGCTCCGCAGTTACTCCACAAATATTTGCTCCTGCCAAAATTAACTCTCCACAGAATTAAAAAAAAAAAGTCAGAATGATATTCTATTTGAAAAGTGCTAGTAACACATGCTTATTCCTCTTCCTGGAGAGTACAGCCTAATATTTTAAAACAGGAATTTTACAGTCTGGTTGAAATACTCATCTTGTTTAATATGATAACAACTGTTTTGCTGATTTCAGCAAAACCAAAATTACATAGTGGATATATTTCTTAATTTAGATGGATGCTGTTACAGTAACATCAAGACCGTAGTCTCTCAAATTGGAGAGATCCGATTTTTGCATGATGTTGGCTTATGCCCCAAAGTAGAAGAAGATGATAAAAGAAAAGTAATAATGCTTATATTAGCAACAAAAATACTCATTACTTTGTTCTGATTTTAATTTGTTGGTTTCACTTATGCAGTTGTCCTTTGTTTTTTGTTTTGAGAGTATTTTTATGGAAGGAGGAGAAGGTTTACTCATAATCTACTGCTATAGACAAACAATGAAAGAGAGAAGCATTAAGATATAATGTTTTAATTTTAATGACAAAACAAATCCATTGACAAAAGCCACCATCTCAGTTTCAAGCATCTCTGCAAAACAATCCAAGTTTTATCAAGTTTTAATGTTTCTATCAGTTTTTCAGTAAACTTTTACAAGTGTCAGTATCATTTAAAAAAAAACCACACACACCCCCCAAACTAAAACCAAAGCCAATTGTTTTTGCACAAATGAAGCTGTTCTATATCTAGTCAAAAAGCTGCAATGATCTGCAGAAACTTCTAAAAGTCCATTCCATTTGACATTTTAGCTCATGATGAGAGGGGGGGTAGGGTGGTGGTTTGTGGTGTTTTTAAGACGACAAGAAGAGACATCACTGCAGAAGATGCACTATCAGCTCTACTGAATCTTATTTATTTTAACACCTAACAAAATATCTGAGAGAAAAATACTGGGTGACAAATTTTGAAATACTCAGTTACATAGACACTTTTCTCGTTCTTCATATTTACGGACAACTTTGTTCTAAGGGAGGAAACTGACTGAATGAGGTTGCATTTCAAAATCCTCCACCAAGTTCAAAGCTTCATGGATTATACAGGGGAACAACTTAAAGAAAAAATATGCCATTGATCTGTGTAACATTTCCTTTCTGTTAGCACTTGCTTTTAAGATTATTTTAACACTATTTCTGGTAGGACAACCTTTTCTTTGTTTGTTTTAAAAAAAAAAAAAATAATAACCCCAGACTTTGCAGTGTCGCCTTCGACTTTCTGGTCTCTCTTCTTATTTTATTTCTCCAAAACCACTTGGTTCTCAAGCTTGTATTTCAAAATTTACTATGTGAGCAAAGTGCCCAAAACAGCAAGGAAAAAGTGTGCCTCAGACACCTTAGAATACAAACTTGAAAGTTTTTGTTATTTAAAACACATTGTAATAACTGCTATGCAAAATGATCCTTTAACACAACTACACATGGAAAATCCTGTTTATGCACTTTGAAAATAGTCCTGCAAAATCATCTCACAATGTTTATAACTGCTACACTCAGTTACGTTTTAGTAAATTTTACTGATGAGACCATCCATCTTCAAGGAAATTGATTTCATATTTTGTAATAAAAGCCTTGTATCAGCAGATAAAGGTTTTAGTCTAGATTAGTATCTCTGAAGCACTCTTGTTTATTTCTGCTGCATAATGATTATAATTAATTTTATTCAAAATGGAAAGAAAGACTGACAGTAAAGATGAGAAGAACGTTACCTCACTTCCAGCACACTGAATCATGACCTGGGACATGTAAATCACATTGCCAAGTGTTTTAATATCCTCTCCCTCCCAACAACGGATAGCTTCAGTCAGTATTTGTAGTTCAAGTTCTTTCCGTTTCCGTACTTCTTGACATTGTGCCTAACAAAGATAGGGAAAAACACCATCTCTATCAACTCTATCAATTTGGAGCAGGTAGAAATATCAGTACAGTTGTATTTACTGTTGCGCTTATAGTACACAGAAGACAGCGCCTAACTTGAAGGGTTTTCATTTAGATGACTATTACCAATATTTCTTACAAAACTAGTTTTTCTAACTTCAATATTATTACTTTTCCTTTTAATACACTGACTTCAATTACCATTTCAAATTCAGAGTCACAGCTCTGTTTCTCAAATTTCTCCTTCCTTTACATTTTCAATTTTTGTACTTCCAACCAAAAATGACAAGGCTCAGCAAAAAACACAGCTGTCATGAATACACATGACTATACAACAAAGCATCTTACTTTAGTAAAAAGAGCCACACCAATTCTGCAAACCCTGAGTGTGTATAACCTTGTGCTCCTATTTTTATTCAACATCTCCAACCTGCTCTACTATCTATATTCCCATTAATGTGTATTTTTCTCGACGAGATTGTTTCCTCTCGTTTGTAAAGCACCCAACAGAATGGGATCCCCAAACCTCTTCTGAACACAGATAGCACTAAATTTCTGCTTTAAAAAAGAAAAAATAGAAAGTACCGGGTTACCACCAGCACACACTCCTAACAGGAAACAGAAAACATTGTTTATTCTGACTGAGACTGCATTGAATACATGCTTACTGCAGTTGATTTTTTTTTATTTTTAAGAGACAATAACAGACATCATCTGTTCAAATTAGGCTTCCTACTCCAATTATTACTAGAAGTTTTGTATTTTCTGACATTCTTTAGCACTGTCCCCTTTATCCTCTCTCCCTCAACTTCACCACTATTCCCCTAGAAGGAACATACTTAAGAAAGACCTCAGAAGATATACTCAATTGTTGCAAAGAAGTCCTTCTTCAGGATACTAGTTATGCTAGCACTAGTAGGAAGGGAGATGAAGCATGAGTGAGAGGGCAGACCAAGAGGTGCAGAATGCTTGCATGGCCCTTACTTCAAGTCTATTTGCTGTAACTCCGCAGTAAATTACCATCCTTAGCTCTGCCTGCAAACAGCATCAATTTCCAGGCTTTCAAAAATTTATTGTACAAACATTTACAAAAAGAGATATACTTTTTAAAGCAGTAGAGGGGGATGAAATTAGAAAATATTCTACTTAAAATATATCATGTCTTTTTTATCACTCTTACAGAAAGATTTTTGAAGGCAGTCATGGATTTCTGAATATCTGGACGATCCGGATGATAATCCTAAAAATAATGGAGAAAACATATAATAAAAACTTTAGTTCTAGTAAAATTAATAAAATTCTTTTAGAGGCTTAACTAAAACCAAACAGTTCCGTAAAATAGAAGTTGTAGACCTATCTGCTCTCTTTTCACAGCCTTATTCTTATATCAAACACTGGTGGCTTATAGTAAAAATGAAGAATCACTCACAACATTCCTACTATGCTTAAAATAGAGCCAAGGAAGTTTTACAGGACCTAGTGGACAAGAGATTTTGAAATCCTAATAGGAAAGTGTTTATTCTAAACAGTTTTATTTGGCATGTTAGCTTTGTCACAAACGAGATTCCTTACAGACTAGTATGTTCCTTTGTCACTGACTGACAAACCAAATTGTGTGACAAGACCCATACGCTTTCTATTTCTCTCCCTCCTTCACAGTCCGAAAATCTAACCTATAAAATGCAAAAGCAGAAACCAGTAGCTCCTCAAACACCTTCCCATATCAGAAAGATCATTTTTGGACAGTGTTCAGTAGAAGTCAAAGGGACTATTTTGGTGACATGTTCAACACACTGAGGGGTCCTAAGACGAGAAGCAGCACCCCTCCTACAAGAAAAAGTAGCCTCAAGTAGTATGCAGGAGACACATTCAATGTCAAGTCAACCAAAGACCCTGCAAGACTGTTCTAGGAATGAAAATTAGCTTCTCTGTCTAGTTCTACTTCAAGTGTTTAGCTTTTACAGGAAGTTTTACTGCACTAAGTTTTAAACCATTGCAGCCCATATTTTAGAAGGCTGACGGAAGAGCAAATAAATGTAATTTTGGGTCCCATCATGTTTGACATGTACCTTTAAAATAATTGTTGTCAAATCATCATTAAGCTGGAACATAAATGCTGATAAGATATACCTCCATGTGCCTTTCAAGTTCTTTGAGTAAGGTGGGGTATTTATCCAGACGCATAAAAGGTTTGCTGAGGCCTGTGGTCAGTACAAGGATCCCAGGGCTGTTGGCACCTTTCATCTCCATGAATTCTCCTAGTTCCTCACTGTGTACACAAGATATTTAAGAAAATTAAGATCAAATTACTAAGACAATTAAAATTACACTGGTGTCTTCACTTCGTTCTTTCATCTGCAATGAATTCTGCCAATAAAACAAGAGGCCAAATAAATCAAAAAGTAATTCAAGTACAACTTAAGTGCTGCAATCAGTTTCTGCATTAAATAAAACACAGATGACATTTGCAGATTTGGGGTCCATCCACGGAACAGCAGACATAGGCTCAAAGCCATCAAGCTAGACAACTGATGCTCAAAGACAGCTCCTAAATGCTAGCCCATCTGAGCGAGGATTACAGAATAAAGCCATTGGCACCCTATGTTATTACTCAGCTCTTCATTCTAGTAAAATGGCATCTGACCTTAGAGGTGGTTTACACAGGTAATACACAAGCATAAATGAATCAATGGCTTCATATTTAATCAAGTACCAATATTTTTAAGGTGTCAGGCACTAATGGGAAGACACAAAATGTTTCAGAACCCTTTTTCCTCTTGCACTTACGTGTTTAATAACCTCATCTCACACATCCAAGGTGTTATTGCAAAATGATCAACTAGCCAACAGCCATACAAATGGTAGCTCATAGTAGAAAAAATTACCGTGTGATCTAGTCTCAAACAAGTAGGGTTTCACTGAGGGTGTACTTACGCAACACACTTGTTTTGACAGCAAAGCTGCTATAAGAAATCCATGCTCTCCAAATATCATGAACTGCTGATTCCCCCATCCAGATGGTTTTTCATACTTCAATCATTTCCAAGAACTGGCCCAGCCCCTCAACTTTTTACATTAATTCAGTTAAAAAAGCAGTGCGTCCTGGGAATTTCAGCTCACTTTGCTATCAAGGAAACTTAAAATAGCTACATCTTCTGCTTCCTTATAAAGCAGAGGTTTCAGAGGACTATGGTAGAGGACAAGCTTTTCTATAGTTTAAATGGCCAGGAACAAAATTAGCCCTCTCTGTGGGGAAAGAAAGGTACAGCAGCACCTGGGCTCATTTCGAAGCTTCAGAAAACACAAGTTGCAGAAGAACATGGAATTCTGAAGACAACATCTAAATAAAGGAAATTCAGAAAGCCACTTATTAAAAAGAGAACATCATCTTCCATTCAAGCTGTGTCATTCTGGACATGTCCAGATGGGGTTGCTCACATTTTGAGCCCTTGTTATAGTAAATTAACCAGTTCTCAAAAAAAAAAACCCAAAAAAACCCCACAAACAAAAAAAAAAAAAAAACCCACAAGAGAAAACACTATTCTTACGTGGCAGTTGTATAAATTCTAGTCTAAAATATCCTCAAAGTCCTTACTTTCTACTGATTAACAGCAGTATGCCCCCAGTCAGAATCATTACTTAAATATTTTTTCCCTTCCTGGGTTATTGGTATAGTCTCATTTTTTCAAAGGAAGCCTTAGCTAGCTACCAGATTCAGTATCTTTAGAAAGTGTTAAATAGTGTTAAAACATCAAACAACAATAAAAGATGAACACTTGTATATTAAGCCCACATTAACAAGAAGGGATGGGCAAGGATCTCCAAACCTAAGGCACAGTGTTTCCACGCAGAAGTGGAAGCAAATCTTGATCTGCTCAATTTCCCTAGGAGAAACACCCACTGATAGGACACTGACATAATATACATGCTCAATTATATCTGAGTCACGCTATATAAAAGCATTACTTTCATTAAGACAAAACAGACCTCCCTGTCTACACCCCCCACCCCCAAGACACACACACACTCCTTCCCATTTCAGAGCAAGTGACACTTGGCTTATTAATGTCATTTGTCCAAAGAGATGAAGAGAGCAGAACAAGAACATGAACCAAGGCCTTCCCATCCCATCTAAGTGCTTTACCCATCATCCCACCCAGATCTCTCTCCCCTGGCTGCTACAGCTTCCCCAAGTTCACAGAAGAGATGGTACTTTTTCATACAGTTTACTCCAATGTTTACTTGTCTTCACATTAGTTAATTGGTATTTACATACACTATATTGCTTAAATACATCCAGCACTGTTTCCGAATCACCAGGTCCAACCTAACCTTACACCACCTCTTTTAGAGCACTTCACCCCCATTCTAACCAGGCCCAGGCACCCCTGGGTGCCCATCCCTGCACCATTGCTGCTGTGCTCAACTGCAGAAAGTGGGAGAGGGGATTTCCCAGCACCTGCTTTGCATTTTAAAGATGCAAAGGGAACAGCTGGGCACCCTTGAGAATGCCCACAGCTCCACCAGGCAGACCTTGCTATATCCCTCTCAAGCAACATGTATCAGCAACTCCAGGCCTCCTAAAATCAGCTTGAGACATTATCAGGTTTTAGCCAAAATTAAAAATTTCCTCAGCTAAAGGGAAGCAGCTGGTTCCAGCAAGGTGGTGGGGTGGACAAACAAGGGTATAGCACCCAGTTTACACAAAGCACTTTACCAACGCTCACCTGTGAAAGCCTATCTGTCAAGGCACTCAGTGATTTTAAATTTCAATTCATTGTTTATATGACACTGATCATGTGTATGCTACTGCTTATTTTTGTTTCAACCACCAATTCTCTTTGTATGCACTCCCACCCATGTTAGCATCAAAGTGAGAGTACCTCTGGTACTTGCTACTACCTTCAAAGTAAACATTTAAACTCATTCTTTGCATTTTGTTTGCTTCAGCCAGATGCATGGCCCCTGCTGCCTAACTTTATCAACTATTCCCTTTACACATTTTATCTGCTCTTCTTCCCCATTTCAGGCAGCACAATCCATATGTACACCTACGCAGCTTCTCTTTTCTCCCTACATACCAGTACACTCTCCAGTACGCACCAGTTGCAAATACCACAGGGCGTTTAATTTAACATTGTTCTGAACAGCGCTGATTTTAGCCTTTAGATTGCAAAGACACAAAAATCCTCATTCCTAATTACTTCAGCCATCTGCATGCTGCTGGGTGCAGACAAATGCATTGTATAAATGGTATTTGCTGAGCTATCCATTAACACAATGCTTCCCCCCCCTTTTCTTTTTTCTTTTTTATTTCATGCCTCTACTGTAGGGGGAACATTGGTTACCATTTCACCCACATTCACATTTCTAATTTTCATTATCACTGTTCCATTTCTTCCTGACTTTGGCATTACGAAACAGATGTGTCAGAAAAAGGGAAAAAATCCACTGCAGCCTGAATTAAAATCGACTAATTGGAAACCTGAAATAAAAACCTGGTATTATCTTGTTGTCACTGTCTACTCTGCTATTGCTTTAACTAAACACACCGTGGTTACACAATGTTGCAGCCGTTTCCAAGCCATTCACTGCTCTTCACACAAGATTGTTTATCACCTCCTTTTTACTTAATCACTGTATAGGGACCTACAGAGCAAGTTTGAACCTCAGCTCACTTGAAATGTACCCAAAGTCCTGAAAAACACGCTTAGCAATGGCATCATCAGGAAGCCTTTCACACCGAGCAATGTTAATAGGTGTAATTAAAACCGAATGACGTAATTTTCCTCCCAATATTCCCAAGAGGACAATGTTTTCTTTCATACACCTCCGTGCTTCCCACTGACAAGTTTTGACATGCCAGCTTGCTCAAACTCTAGTGTGAACACACAAACACTCTTTTAATACAATAGTACCCCAAATTTTGTCTGAGCAGTTCCATCATGCAGACCTCCTTGGCAGTCTACTCACACTAAACCAACCGCTGCAGCTTCGTGGACATAAATTATCTGGCAAAATGGACGTCACTTTAGCTTAAAGAGAGCGTCCTTCATTTATTCACAAAGGACAAATACAATGCAGAACATAATGGAAAGGTTTACTTTCAACAGAAGATGGGTGGGTTAAAATACTGTTTGAATATGACAACAGTTCATAATTTTTTTTTTTAAATTACTAGCAGCTTAAAAGTCAGTGCTGTTAGCCTAAGAGCACAGCTGCTTTGCCAGAAACAATGGCTCTTTCATGTCACAATTACAATTGATGCCTGCAAGTACCACACTCTCCTAGGCAGTATACACTGAATAAAACTCTGGCCCAAAGCTAAGCAGTACATTTTAAAAAAGGTATCATTCCTGAACAGGAAAAACTTTTGAACAGTGAAATCATCAACTTAGTCACAACTGCCTAAGTAGCTTTTCAGAAAGAGGCAGCTGAGATCTGAATTCACTACTTGGTGTCATTTTATAGACTAAAATGCAGAGAAGCATACAAAAGTGCTGTGCTTTGTTTATCCTGAACTCTCAAGCTGAAGAGTTCTCCCCTCTCCAGACTAGAGTTAGTTCACAGCTTGAGATATTTTAAAGGTCACCACGAAAAGTGTCTTTAAGCACTATGAATATATTTAAATCTTTTCTTTTAGTGCAGCTGCCTCCAAAGCTGCAAATCAGACTAGGGAGAGGGAAGAAAACAAGTTTAGATGTGCCTAGAGTAACAGAAGGCAAAAAGAAGAAAAAAAAAAAAGCCATTTAAACTCGAGGAAAGCACACCCAGGAACTAAACCATACAAACTTAAAATCACAACTTACACTTCTGAAGTGGGTCTCTGTTTGTAATAGAAGGAGCACGAGCTATCACTGCTGAGGGGTCTGAGGACTGCACACAGGCACCGCATTTTGAGAGCGTTGTGGCACAACTTGGCTCAGCAACCCCTCAACCGCAGCTTTTAATTTCCTAGTGCTGAACTTCCCAGTCCAGCTCCTCTCCCGGGGACTGTTGCTTGCCGTATGACATCAGCCTGCACACTTGCAGGCTCAGGGATGCACCAAAGTGGGGGAGGCACAAAGAGTTTTCTGACTCAAGCTGATCTGTATTCCATGCTCCAATTACTCAGAGTAATTGTGATGTTTCAGCTCCACAAATTTCATCCAGACTGCTAGGTCTGTGATGCAAGTGTAGAATATGCTTGGGACATGTTATCTAAGAGAACAGAAGAATCTAGCAAAATTAGTATTTGAACAAAGATTTGTGAATAGCTTTCTTCCAGCTGAGAACTGGTTTGA